TATAAGAGCTGGTTAGAGCCGTTTGTGGTCTCTTGGGCGCTTTGGTACTTATTCCCCCTGCTGATTTTAGCGTTCTCTTCATCTGCTTGTATTTTAGGGTTTTACTTTATTTTCTTCCTCTTTGAATCGCAGGTGGCTTTAGCCCTTTTTACTTGTATTCCCCTGTCACTCGTTTTCTGACCCATTCCCCTTTGGTGGGACCCTAGGGCTAGACTGAAAAGCTGTTTCCGCTTTCTCCCATGTTAGGGAATTTATTTTCACCAGCCTTGATCATCGCTCTGAGTAGTTTCTGGAGGGACAAGACTGGGTTTCCATTTTTTATGCCCCAGCAACCAGCTGTGCTCTTCCTCCGCTCCTGTTCCATCTCAGACTGTCATTAGTTCCTCCTCCGTCTGGGCTAAATCAGCTTCTCCCACTTTTTGCAGGGTCAGAGAGCAGAGCGGGCGCAGAATCTTCGCATTGTTAAGGCTCCACCACTTCGAGTGGAAGAAAGCTGAATTCTCTCCCTTTCCCTGTTTCCCTGCCCTCTCCTTGGGTGGCTGGGCAGAGTCATTGTCTGCGGCTTATTGCAGTGGGTTGAGTAGGGGATGGCGTACAGCTGCAGTCGCTATAGCAGGGGTGAAACCCCAGAGGGTCCCAGGCAAAAGGTGGGGGGCAGTTCGGACACCATGCTGAAGGGTGACGGCTTCTGGCTGAGGGGTGCTACAGGCCGTGTGGAGCCACTGGAGCTCCATAATGCCTTCTTGTTGATTGATAAGGCTGACACCTTTTGGAGTTTCTTGCTTTCTTGTCTTGTGGATTCAGCTACAGTTGCTCTTCATTTGATGCATAATTTCTCCTTCAGGAGGTTTTTGAGAGCCAGTGGGGAGCTAGAGGTGATGCCTCGTCTGCCATTTTGTTGGTCACGTGCCTCCCTCATGCATCTAAAGCAGTGCCGTGCCTTCTGCCTCCTTACAGACGTGCTTGAGTCTCCTCAGTTCTTTTAAAAAAAAAAAGCCCTCAGCCCCTTTACTCCATCGAGTTTCTGTGCCATCTTTCTCTGCCTCCTCAGAGATAAAAGCCTTGAAAAAAATCTTCCCTACTATCCATTCTCCAACTCCTTGCAGATTGGCTGTTTTGTCCTTAACGTAATCCTGAAAATGTTCTCACAAAGTTCATCAGTGATCTGATTGCCAAATCCATTGACCTTTTTCAGTCAGTCTTTTTTGAGCGCTCTAAAGTATTTGATATTATGGATTATTACTTCTTTCCTTGGAGGCAGCTAAGTGGCTCAGTGGATAGAGTGCTAGGCCTGGAGTCAGGAAGACCTGAGTTCAAATTTGACCTCAGACATTCTCTAGCTGTGTGGCCCTGGGCAAGTCTCTTAACCTCTGTCTGCCTAATCCACTGGAGAAGGAAATGGTAAACCACTGCAGTATCTTTGTCAAGAAAACCCCATACAGGGTCAGACATCCCTGAACAACGACACTTCTTTCTTTTGCTCTGTTCTTCCTTTGGCTTCCTGACGTAACGCTTTGCTACTTCTCTTCCTGCCTTTCTAGTAGTGATTTCTCTGTCCCCTTCATTGGCTTCTCATCCCTTCCTTAATTCCTTGAGAAGAGCATTCCTTTAGGTCCAGTCTCTTCTTGACAAGCTCATTCATTCCCATGCTTTCATCTAACAGTATTACAGAGATGACATTATCCTCCACCCACAGTGCCATGTTGACAGCTTTACATCCCTGTTGGACAGCATTTTCTGGATATCCTGCTGGCACCTCAAGTTCACACAAACTGAGTTTATACTTTTTCTTTCCAAATCTGCTTCTTTTGATTTCACTCTGTCTTCTTTGCCACTTCTCTCCTCTGGCATTTATCACTCCGTCAGTCACTCAGTATCTCAGCCTTTCCTTCTCTCTCGTTTCTCATATTCAGTCACCTGTCTGCTCTTTTCAATTAATAGTGGTGTTGTAGAAGATGGTCACCCTCAGCCTCTTCCTTTTACAAATAAGACTCAGAGATACACAGCTAGCCCTGGTTTTTACTAATAGTAAGTTAGAAGGCCTGAATTTTAATCCTAAGTCTGCCATATACTAGCCCTGTGACCCTGGGCCAGTCTCTTGAACTCTGTTTCTGGTTCATTTGTCAGATTAGGATGATAATACCTGCACAGATCCCCTGACAAAGGCATTTTAGTGATAAATGTCTCCCCTTTCCCTGTTTCTGCCAGCAGCAGCGTGTCTAAGCTCTGTTTCCCTCCACTCTCCACCAGGCATCTTCAGGTCAATTTTGTTACTGTTCCCTTGATATGATGGGCTCTTCCAGGATGTGTAGTGGCTTTCAGCGGGGTCTGCCCCTTCCAGGACCAAATCCCTTCCCCTCCCCAAGTTATGCTTAAAGTACAGGGCAGGCTTTCTCCTAGATGGGAATGTTAAAAGGTTTGAGCAATGTCTTCTTCCCTCCAAGTTATCAGGAAGAAAGTGAACTGTTAAATTGAAAGAAAGTTTCAAGGTAAATGGCCAGAGGGGAGCCCTGACCTGTACTGGAGGGTAGAAGAATATGACCCAAGAAAAATAGGGGAAGAAGAGCCATGTGAACATTTGGGACCAAGTTATAGGTATGAGGATGGCTCCCCTGTGGGGGAGCAGGGAAGGAAGCAGCTGTTTGCAGTCTGAGGAATGCTGTGGATATATAGACTGTCAGGAGAGTCAGAGGAAGAAGAGATGAATAGGGTGGTTGTTGGTGGACCACTCTGCAGGAGTGCAGAAGCAGCGATTTGTCAGACCTGATGTGAATGGTGGGTTTCACTGAGTATGTATCTCGGACATGATAGAGAAACTTCTAAGATTGGTCACACCTGCTGGCCATTTCTAGCTTCCGGGGCTTCATTTTGGAGCAAGTGATACTGCCAGAAAAGAAACAGAAAATACTGGTGGATTCTGAAGTCTGAGGCAAGAAATTGAAGATTACATAAGGGAGATAAATGGTTGGTTAAAAAGATGGTATCTGAGAGTAGAAGTTGGATTTCTGAGCCACTGGTCAAAGGAAATGCAGGAATATCCCCAGCTCTTTGGTAGGGATGCCTTGAAACTAAGGAGGGCGTGTAAAACAAATATTTGTTGTAAGTCTTGCACATATTATTAACGGGGCTTTAGGATAAAAGTGGAGGTGGGAGGAAAAATCTTCCTATGTAAATATAACAATATTGATGTGAGTAATCATAACATAGGAAAAAGAGTGATAGTAACAGATGATGAAGTAAAGGCAGAACTATACAGCTGTTTTTGCTTCTGTTTTCTTTACAAAGACCAATGATCTGTGGACTGAGATGTATAGAACAAAAATTGCTACCAGGGAATTAAAACCCAAGATAGCAGAGATAGGGGTAGAATATCCAGCAACCAGTTCACCTCAGCAGGTGCAGGCTAAGTACATTCTAAGTAGATGCAATTGCAGAAATACTGACAGTGATCAATGAAAAAAAACATGGAAAATGGTAGAGCAGTTGTAGGCCTGGAAATGGGAAAGTGTTGTCTTGATTTTCAGAATGAGAGATGGTTGAGTCATCAAACATATAGGTAGTTAAGTTTGATTTCTTTCTTTCTTTTTTTCCCCTAGGTAATGGGGTTAAAAGTCACACAGCTGGTAAGTGTCAGGTGTCTGAGGCCTGATTTGAACTCAGGTCCTCCTGACTCCAGAGCCAGTGCTCTATCCACTGTGCCACCTAGCTGCCCCTAAGTTTGATTTCTTGCAAAATTCTGAAATTGTTATTGAAGGAATGGTTTCTGAACAATTAGAAAGGGAAGCAGTGACCACTAAGAGCCAGCACGGATTAATCAAAAGCAGGTGTCGTGTTTGTTGATTTGGGTAGCCTCATTGATTTTTTTTTTTGGACTGAATTATCAATTGGTATTAATTGGAAAATGCTGTAGACAGAGTATACCTAGGTTTCAGCAAATCATTTTTATTTCTCATGCTAGTTTTGAAGACGAGATAGAGTGATTTTGGTTAGATAAAAATGCAGTTGGACAGATTTGGTGCTGATTGAGTAACTGGACACAAAGCACGATCAGTGTGGAGGCAGATCTCTTAGGACCTCAGGAATCTGTCCTTGGCTCTCTGTTGTTCAGTATCTGTGTGAATTACTTGGGATAGAGCACAGACATCAAGCTTGCAAATGACACAACGGTAGGAGGGACAGATAAGACTCGCATGGGAGAATCGGGATCTCAAAAGACCTTGATGGGCTAGGGGGGTGATGGGTCAAAAGGAGTAAGACCCATATAAATAAATGTGAAGTTTGGCGTGAGTCACAAGTGTGAGGTAGAGGAAGCTCACCATCTCTTCCTCTATGGATCCAGGGACTTTAGTGGAATAAGCTTGAAGTGAGTTGACTGTTACAGGGCAGACAAAAACGTGAACTCAGTCTTAGCATCTAAAGAGGCAAAGTATGTGTAAGCAGGGAAGCAGCAGTCCTGGTACATTCTACCCTGGGTCCTGGTTTAGTTATTCTGTTTAGTACTGAGTGTCACAGTGTAGGAAGGATATCAGTAGACGGGTTTGGGGACAGGGAGTGGGCAGAGTGAAAATTATGCCGTGCCAAGAACCTGTTGATAGAACATGGAGCATTCAGCCTGGGAGAGACTTAGCACGAGGGCACGACAGTCGTCTTCAGATATGTGCTTGTCCTGGGAAATGGGTTCGATTTGTGCTTGTCCTTGGGGCGTAGAGCCAAGAGCAGCAAGTGGAATTGCCTGGGACACAATTTCAGTTCCACGTCAGTCAGATCTTCCTGCACAGAGGTGTCCAGAAATAGATTGCATGCTCTCAGCAGTCCTGGACTAGCCGTCAGTAGAGTCCTTCAGGCTCAGGCCGGACAACTCTGTTATCTGAGGTGCCGGGAGCACAGTACAGAGAAGCAGTGGGCACATGGCACTGACAGCAGCTCAGAGAGGGCTGAAAGACATCGCCAGAATTGGTGATGAGGCCACTGAAGACCACTGAGAGCGTGGACAGGTATCGCGATGGGGTAAAAACCAGATTGAAGTGATTGGGGAGTGGCCGGTGAAATAAGAGACATAGAAAGGTTGAGAGAAGACTGAGATTAGGAAGAACACACACGTATACGGTTTGGAAGGACCCACTGGGGAGAGATTGCAGATACACGAATGAGCACCGCTCCTAGAGGAGGCAAGAGGGAAATGTCTGGAAGTGGGGTCAGCGCTTCCTCTAAAGCAGGAGGGAAGTTGAATGGATGCTGGTAACGTGGCCTGAGGTGCAAATAAGATAAGGTGTGGGCAGTGTTTGCAAACTCTAAAGTGCTTCAGAAATGTCATCGTTTTTGTTTTAATGCAGAGATATTTTAAGGAAAGGAGTCCGTTTTTCTCAGCTGGCCTTGTGCTCCTCAGTGACGGAAGAGGCTGAGTCAGGGTCTGGACCGCGTTGTGTTTGATGAGTAGGCATTCAGTAAGAGAGGAGAGAATGGTTAGAGGCAGTCAAGTCAAGTCTCAGCTGAGGTTTTAGCTCATAAATGTGTAGTTTTAATTTACTTTAATTCTTCCTAAAATGTGGATGAATCTAGGGAGAAGGAACAGAGGATTGGTCCTAGAAGGGGCCGATCTGAATGCTTCCCAGGCCTTTCCTGTCTCCTCCCTAAAGGGTGGCTTAGGTTGTGACCCTTTCTCCTGACCACCCTCTCCTTCCTGCTCTTTTCTCTCTGGAGATTTAACGAGCCACACCTTATTGTAACAATTAGTGGGGGACAGTGTAATGGCCTGCAGGTTGGTGTGGTCCCTTTATTCTATTTTATGGAGTTTATATCAGTCCTCAAAGGGATGGGAGTGCCAGCTCATCTTACTTGTCTCCTGTGGAACCCGTATGTAGGTCAAGAAGCAACCGATTAGAACTGAACATGGTTTAAGATTGGGAAAGTTCAGCAAGGCTGTAGACTGTCACCTTATTTGTTTAACTTATATGCAGAGGACATCATGTGAAATGCCAGGCTAGATGAGTCAAAAGCTGGAATTACACTGCCCTTTCTGGCAAATGGACCCCTCCGCCGGGGGCGCTTTGTCCTGAGAGGCCTGGAGGAGAGGTAGACACACCATAACCATAGCCAAATGCATACAGCCTTCAATTAGTGGGTCAGTTCTCTTGACTGAAGTGAGTGGATGCTCCCTGGGATGTATGCAGGCAGCTACACCCTCTCGAACCCAGGTTTGGATGGGAGCCTCATTTTCTGGAGGTGGGGATGGCCTCTGCGGTCTCTCCCAGATTGGATGTTCAGTGATATGACTTGCGGCCAACCTTAGAATCTAAAGGCAGCATTGACTTCTTAAATTTTTTCGGTGAATTAGCGGGGAAGTTTGTGGGAGGGAGTTTTGGGATAAAGAGGTGGCTGAGCTCTTGTTCACTCCCTCTCTCTACATGGGTCACTTTCTGATACTTTTGTAATCCATGTCAGAAAGATAGTCCCTTCAGAAAAGTTAAGTATCCTAACAGGATTTAATCAGATGTATTTCTTTGTAGTTAGCCAATGTCCTGAGGGCCAGGGGCATGGGAGGCTGTGATTCTTCAGGTCTGGGTCTTGCTTAGCTGGGGTCATGTGATGCCTGTCGTCTCAGGTCAGATTGCTCCCAAATGTCCCCCCCTTTTTAAAAAATAAATAATGATTTATAAATAATATGTTAATGATGCTTCAGTTTCCAAATCTCCAGGGCTTGTCTAAGGGGCAGTGGCCATAAGAGTAGAACACTTCCTGTCTTATTTTTTTTTCTCCCCGTTTACACCCATGATCTCATCTTAGGAAGGGATGATAAAAATTCCTTCTTTTAGGCTGAGTTGAGCATGATCTATGAAGTTGTAATTTATAGCTATCAGGAAAGACTTCTGTTAACTTTATTCTCTTTTTCATTAGTAGTTGGTAGCTCAGGAATGGTGGCAGATGGTTGCAGTTAACCAGGTTTAACAGGTTGGGAGCATTGAAGGGTAAAGGGTCCCAGGGCAGAGGTAAAAGTACTATTGGTGCTGCTAACCATAGCAGTGAGATCAGGGAAAGAGCGAAGTGAGGCTTGGATCTAATTCATTGGCTGGGACATGGAGGAATCAGGGCCTGGAAGGTACAGTGAGGGCACAGAACAGGTGTGGGTGGAGTGAGGACTAGGGCTGTTCTGAAAGACAGCTGTGCATGGGGGAAGTCACATGGTTTCAGATTTTAGAACTAGCAGAATTTTGAATGATCTAGGTCTAGAGTGTGACCATAATCATGGTTACTGGATTAAAGGGGGAGTAAAAGTTGTGTGGGATTTGAGGGGCTTAAGAGACTGTGAGAACAGGTTGTTGGAAGGGGCATAAACATGAAGATTACATCTCTGAAATGATGGCCAGAGAAGGGTTCAAGAGGAAGATTAGAACCTAGATATCAACCATGGAAAAGGGGGAGAGTGATGTCCTCTTTACCCCTTCCCCCCTCACCTGTCAGCTCTCAGGGGTCAGTAGATAGAAGTAGTATAATTGAAAGAAGGTGGTGTAAGTAGATGGCACGGACATCAGAGTAGACTTCATTAGGTTTGACTGCAGAGGTCTGGAAGTGGCCCTGGAAATAAGGATTCTGCTGACTCCACCTCTAGTGAGCCAGAGGAGATGAGAGGAGGAAGCGCTGCCATCTCTCAGCAGAGACGGAGCCCGTGCCACTGAATTGCAGAGCACTTGGGGAGTAAGAAGACTGGGCTGGTGAGAGGGGGAGCAGCTTGGGAAAGGCCTTGAATGCCAAACACAGGATTTTGTCTTTGATCCTGGAAGTGATAGGGAGGCACTGGAGTTCATTGAATGAGAGCGTCAGATCTGTGCTTTAGGAAGATTAATTTGATGGGTGAGTGGAGGATGGACCAGAGCGGGGACAGATTCATCAGGCTGACCCACCAGCGGTTATTGCAATAGTCCGGGTATGAAGTGATGAGGGTCAGTGTCAGAGGAGAGAAGAGGGCGTAAATGAAAGGTAATATGATGGCAGAAGCTACAGGACTAGGAACAGACTGGATATGGGGGATTTTAACAATAGAACACGGTGTACAAAGGTTATTGCTAGGGGCCGGCTGTAGAAAATGGGGGCATAGGTGAATGGGCACAAGAGGCCAGTGAGAGGAAACAGCAAGACAGGGCCTGCATTTAGTTCTTCTTTATTGGATTAAAGAATCAGGATACTGGGGCATGAACCTAAGGGGCGTGTTAACTGTTGGGCAAGAGGGAATATATGTTGTTTTGAGCTTCCACAGCCTGGGCCCCTCTGGGTAAGACTGTCCCCATGATTTGCTAGGCAGTCTTCTTTCAGTGCACAGTTAAAGAGCAGTTTCCACACCTGGGATTCCAAAGATGAGACTGTCCCTCCCTTTGATCTTGGGGGGCAGTGCCAGGGTGAAGTAGAACTTTGCCAACCAGGGTTTCTGCTTCTCATTTGTGGAGAGAGCTTTTTCATTTTGCTGTTTTTATGACAGCAGTTTTCTTTCTCCTGGTACTGAGAAGAGGGGACATTTACATTTCTCATTACTTCCAGACTTCCAGACTCTGACTGAAGCCAAGGAGTCATCTCCAAAGCAGGGTTTTTGGGAACAAGAATCATCTCAGCAGGTCATGATGGAAAGACTTGTTAGAGCTGACTTCTGGTACTCCACCTTAGCAGGAGCCGGGGAATATAAGGACCAGTTAGGGAGGCAGCTGGGAATCCAGGAGAAATCTTTGAAACCTTCAGCCATCACACAACAGAACATTCCCACTGAGCTGAGGGGTCCTCAGTGTAATGAATTTGGAATAAACGTTAGTCTAAGCTCAATCCTTATCAGGCAGCAGAGATTGTTTATAGGAGAGGGAAGCGGTGAATGTGGAAAGAGGTTCAAACATAATTCTGACCTAATTAAACATCAAGAAATATGTTTAGGAAAGAAAATCTGTGAATGCAGTGAGTGTCAGAAAGCCTTCAGCCAGAATGCCCATCTTATTCAACATCAGAGAATTCATAGTGGAGAGAAACCCTTTACTTGTGGCGAATGTGGGAAAGCCTTTACCTGGAGGACACGTTTTGTTCGACATCAGAGAATTCATACTGGAGAGAAGCCTTATGAATGTAGTGCATGTGGCAAAGCCTTCAGCCAGAATGCCCATCTTATTGACCATCAGAAAATTCATACTGGAGAGAAACTCTACCAGTGTGATGAATGTGGAAAAGCCTTCAGGTGGGGAACACTCCTTACTCAGCATCAGAGAATTCATACTGGAAAAAAGCCCCATGAATGTAGTCAATGTAGGAAATCCTTCAGGTGGAGTACGGCACTTACTAAACAACAGAGAATCCATACTGGAGAGAATCCCTACGAACGTAGGGAGTGTGGAAAAGACTTCAGGTGGAGTACAGCCTTTGCTCAACACCAGAAATTTCATACCGGAGAAGAACCCTCTGGTGTCTTGAGTGTGGAAAAGCCTTCAGCTGAATTATTCATCTCATCCAGCATCAGAGAATCCACACTGGAGAGAAACCCTATAAATGCAGTGCGTGTGGGAAAGCCTTCAGGTGCAGCTCAGCACTGAGCAGACATCAGAGGTTTCATGGTGGAGAATAACCCTGGGAATGTAGTAAATAAGGATACGTTTTCCTTCAGTCATTCCTTCAAGATATGATAGTAGTTCTGCTTCAGAGAAGCAGGGTGACTTACTGGGGAAAGCATTGGACAGAGAGTCAGGCAATACCTGGGTTCCAATCCTGGCTTTGCCTGGTATTGACTTGTTTAACCAAGAGCAAGTCGCATAGTATCTCTGAACCTCATTTTCCTCTTTTGTAAAATGGGAATATCACTTGTCTTGCACTCTCTACCTCACAGTGTTATTGCGATGAAGGTGCCCCATACTTGTGAATTCTTTGTTACTAGATTTGGGGAGGCTGAGAGCAAATTGCTTTCCCCCCTTAATTTCCTTCTTACCTCCTCCACCAGGGAATTGCCAAGCATTGGTCTGAGTTCTGCAGTTAAAAGCCACTAAATGGCAAATTGCTGTCCCCAACCTAAATAATCACCAAGCTAAATAGCTAAATCTTCCGTTTTGATAAAGCAGGGTGAACTAGAAGACAACAGCTTTTAAAACAAAGCTGCCGACTAAGCACAGGCTGGCCTAACTTTTGTACCAGGTCACCTTACTAGAAAAGCTCATGTAAATAAATCGACGTGCATGAAATCAAATCTGATTTTGCTGTCGTCCAGTGATAGGAGTAGTTTCAATAAATCAGCATGGTTCCTGACAAATTGTCTTTATGACAATGAACCATTAAAGCCATACTTGTAGGATTTTAAACTTCCTAAAATGTAATCGAGTTGATTAAGTAGGCTGAAAAAGGAGCAAGCCACTATAAACTGTCTAATACGGTGTCCCAGTGTACTGTGCACGGATCTGTCGCTTCTTCATAATTACTGCCTGATTTTATACTGCAGCAAATCAAAGAAGATCACGGAAGCTGAGAGTTGAAAAGGGCCTCCGAGGTCAGTCATCGGGTCCCCTGTACAGCAGTTCTGCTCCCTTCAGTCTCCCTGAATGTGACGCCGTTAAAGTCTTCCAGTGACAGGGAATCTACTACTGACCCCAGTTTTAGACTACCCTAATTGTTAGGAAGTTTTTCCTTACGTTAAACCTAAGTTTTCCTTGGTACAGCTTCCACCTGTTATGCTTACTTTTGGACTTTGGATCCAAGCAGCTTCAAACTGCCTTAAGACTTTTGGGATGCCCTGTAGTTGAAGGCATCATAATAGCCTCAGTCTCTCTTTGTAAGGCTAAACATTCCTAATTCCTTTGTTTGATCCCTGGCTAGCATGGCCTGAAGCCCACTAATGTTACTGGTCTCCCTCTTCTGGACATGTTCCATTTTATTAATGCCCTTCCTAAAATCTAATACCTACCTCTTCAGAACCAGACACAGCCTTTCAAATGTGAACTGAAAAGGGCTTTAAGCAGTATTTTCTTCTGTATCCTAGACCCTGTGTGCTGATTAATGCAGCTTAGCATTGAGTTAGCTTTTTCCATGGCCATGTCACCTTTTTTTTTTTTATAAACACACCTTCCATTCATTTGATTTTGAGGGGAGATCCTAAGTATGGAACTTAGATATCTATCTCTGTTGAATTGCATAATGTTAAATTTGATCCATTATTCTGGCCTGTCAAGATCATTTTGGATTTGGATTTTGTAATGTAGTGTATTAGCTATTGTAATGCCACCTGTATTTTAATCCAAATCATTGATTTAAAATTTGGAATAGCACAGGGCTAAGGACAGATCCCTGGGGCACACCACTAGAAACCTTGCTGTTTTAATGACTACTCAGAGTCTGGTGCTTCAACACATTGCAGAGCTATGCAGTGTTTACCCCATGCTCTTCCATTTTGGATAGCAGTAGATAACATTTCTTTTATATTATTAACAAACATTTCCCTATACAAAGAATGCAAACAGGATTGTATGTGAAATCATGCATCTTTCATGAATAGCTTTTTAAAAAATATAAAATTTAATGTGATGCTTCCAATACTGCCCTGCTCCTCTGTGTCCTGAGCTTCTGTCTGCTCTCTCCTGTGTATCTTAAATGTTCTGTGATGTTTTTTTGCACCAGTATCAATAAATCCTCCTTCTTCCCTCATCCCCAGTAACAAATAAATCTGTTCCAGCAAAACAAGTCATTCACACGTTGGCCACGTCTGGAATGTGGGCAGGCTGACAAATGCTTTGCTTAGGATGAATGCTAACTTTGTCTAGTAGTGAGGTAACCCTGACAGAAGAGAAATGCGGTTTGTCTGGTATGAATTGTTCTTCATGAATCAGCGCTGGCCCTTGCTGATCCCTTCCCCTTCTAAGTGCTCACAAGCCATCCCTTTAGTATCAGACTCAAGCTCAAGGGTCTGTGGCTTGAAGACTTTGCCCTCCTTTCTTTTAGGGAATGAGATAATATTTGTTTCTCCAGCATTGCCTTTCTCCACAGCTTCCTGAAGATTGCTGACAGTGACCCAGGAATTCTGTGCACCAGCTCTTTTCAGTGTCTTGGGCTGGAACATTTCCCCCTCTGTGGAACTCTTCACTTATTTTCAGTTTTGAGCCCTGATTAGCTATTTTTGTTCTGGTCTCCCTGGCACACACGTCTTTTTCTTTGGAAGAGAAAACAGGCAGAGGGAGGGTTGAGTGCTTCTCCTTCCCACTTGTTCATTACCATCGGCAGCTGTCTATGAGCTCTGTCCTCATCCTTTCTTAGATCCCCTTGCCTGCAAAGTAGCTTTTAATTTTTTAAGCATTTACTGGAAGTGTCAGTTTATTCTAAGTTTTAGAACTCACTTCTGGCAGTTTTACTGACCATACTAATCTTCTCTTCACTTTCTTGTCCTTCTTCATGTATATTTTCAAATTCTAAATTGCATTTCTTGGGCATCCAGATTGATTCGCTGCCCACTTTCCTCCTGTACCTTTATTGTAATCATGTGCTTGCATTTCCGGCACTTAATTTTTGAAGCTTCCTATTCCTCGTGGGCCAAGTTCTCAAGAAGATAGTGAGGTTGTGAAATAGTAACCCTCCCTTCCAGAACTCTTTCAGATCTGCTGTCTCCGAATCTAGGGTGCAGATTTAGGCTCCATCCCCCTTTCTTCTGTTCTGGTCAGGGTTGCCATCACTTCTGCTTCAGCAGTTAGTTCTTCCTTATTGGTCAGAAGCCGGTGCATGAAGAGAGTCTCTTGGTCCCTTCTTCCATCTTTTGTAGAACAGAATGATCATCAAGCAAGTCAAGAACTTCTTAGTTGTTCTGGGTTTGCCAGAGGGAGAGCTCCAGGAGACATCTGGACAGTTTAACTCCCATATCACCACATCACGCGTCCATACCACACTTCTTGGTCTGTTTCCCAAATCCTTAATCCTTTCTATTGGTTTTGCCAGTTGACCTACAGTATACCCCATGACCTTTTCTTCTTTCTGTTCTCTCTTCACCCCTTCCTATGGTCGTGGCCCCAGGGATACCGATTAGAAATACAGGACAGTTAGGGGAGTCTCCATTGCCACTAGGTATGTAGGTTGAGGCCCATCTCAGCTTTGTCGATAAGTAGCACAAATACCAAATACTCATAGGTATGGCGGGCGAAGTCTGTTTCTGAGTGTATCGATTGACTAAGCAATGTATGCTAACTGCATAACAAATTGAGACCAGGCCTCCTGAGCTTGGCACTGGACCCCAAATACAGGGGGAGACAGATTTTTATGCATTAAAATAAAATAATTAATAGGATATAAACCAGGATGCAAGATCAGGTAATCTGGTTTCTAATTGGAAGAAAGATTAGGGGGTTTCTGAGCTGGGAGGGGGAAGGTAAACAGGTGCAATTCCCTGAAATGAGAAAAAGAAGTGTCCCACTTCCCCTCTGCCCCCCAGGTGTCTGTATTCCCTCAGAGGAACATACAAACTAACTGGCTGATCGGGATGGGGCAAGTATGGGCCGTTTGGGATGTATAATTGTGAGAAAACTCCTCATCAGTCTTTGGATCTGACTGGCTTTCTGGCCAGCGTAATCTAGGTGCTTAGTTCAGGGGCTCTAAGCGGCAGGTGGAGGTGGTCCAGCTTCCCAGCCACACAGGCCTAGCTTCAAGCAATGCAGTAGCTTTCTCACGATTCCCATAATTGAACAAAGTTTTCTTTCAAGACCAAAATTGGACTCGATCCCTCATTGAATAGAAAGAGAGCTGAGCTGGCTCCAGAACCGAGTCACAAGATGGGGGCAGTGTGGTTCATTCAGTTCCCACATAGGAGTCTCTTCTACCTCCTTTCCCCTTCACCCATGACCTCGCACCTTTAGTTTTTGCTGTCATATGTATATGTAGGTAACAGAGAGGCAGAGGCTTGGGATTAGGAAGACCCGGGTTCCAGGCGTGTTCGGGACGTGCCAGTCCCTGGCAGCTCTCTAAGACCCTGAGTTGTCCAGCTGCCGCTGCTAGGCTGTGCTGCAGGGAACCTGTGACCATGCAATCCTAGATCCAGGCCTCGCTCCCTACCGTGGAGGTAGAACTGTTACAACTGCTCAAAGTCCTTCTTGCACTTACTCGTCCATCCTCCCTTCTGTCCTGGCGGTTTGTCTCCTTTGTTGCATTTACCCAGTCAAATCTACTTCATTCATGCCAGAGAGGCAAGGCGGTGTGGGGTGGGGGAGAGGGGCCCTCCGTGGGCCAGGAAGGCTTGGTTTCAAGGCCTGGACTGGGCCACACCAGGGGAGTCAGTGACTGATTTGGTGACCCAGGTAGCTCTCCAAGCCTAATTGCTGAGGTGGAGTGGGCTTCCACAGGGCCCGGATCTCCTCCCTTTTGTAGCTTCTTTTTGTCTTTTTTTGCTTTTAGGCAATTGGGGTTAAGTGACTTGCCCGGGGTCACACAGCTAGTAAGTGTCAAGTGTTTGGTCTGAGGCCGGATCTGAACTCAGGTCCTCCTGACTTCAGGACCAGTGCTCTATCCATTGCGCCACCTAGGTGCCCCCCTTTGGTAGCTTCTTTACAAACATGCATTTAAAGGGTTTAGCTATTATTGCCTTTGGCCTGGCAGGACCCACAATCCTAATCTTATCCCAATACTCATCCACATTATATTTTCTCATTTTACCAAAATAAACTTGCAGCTTCCCCCCACCTCCTACTCTTAACCTTTGTTTCTGCTCCCAGTCCTAACTGCTGTCATCCCCCAGCATGGCCAGTTCTTCCTACCATCATCCCCTTCCCAACCTCTCCCTTTACTGTGCATTTTCCCTTTCTTTACTAGTCCAGTCTGCCTTAGCCCAGATAACTGCTGGGATTTTATCAGGTTGCCTGCCCTGCAGGATCTGGGAAGGGAACAGGAGAGGAAATGTCCTTACAGTTTTCCTTATGTCACCCGTTAATGGACTGCAGCTTGTTCCTGTCCAGGGCTTCTTCACTCACCCTAGCCTTCCATCAGGTTGTCCCACTGATTACCCTAACACTCTCACACCTTTAAAAAAATTAATCAATAAAATTAGATTTTACATTACCAAAACTTTTCCCATATACCAACCTTCTTCCAGGGAGCCATTCTGTATAACAAATTATATTCTTTTCTTTTCTTTTTTGTTGGTTAGGCAGTGGGGTTAAGTGACTTGCCCAGGCTCACACAGCTGGTAAGTGTTATGTGTCTGAGGCTGGATTTGAACTCGGGTCCTCCTGAATCCAGGCCTGGTGCTCTATCCACCGTGCCACCTAGCTGCCCCACTGTCACGCAGTGTAATGGGTTTGCTGTTGGGGGCCCTTTGCACGTAATGGTTGGTAGCCTGTGGGTGACCCTTAGCCTGTCCAGACTGTGTGTCTGGGGGCCGTAGTGTCTTATGCTTTATGATCTCTCCTCCAGCTCACAGGAACCAGAACAGTGGAAATTCTCAATTTTTCTCCTTTACCTTGTTGGCCCTAAAGTGGTGCCATGTTGCTGCCTCCCAGTCTCCAAGCCAGATGTAGATTGTACAAGTTACAGTCTCATGGGATCCACTTCTCCTGGCATGTCACAACTCATTCTTTCTCTGTGCTCTCCACCTGTGTCTTGGCACTTGAAATTCAGCAATCCAGGCTCGAAAAATAAGCTGTTAGTCTGACTTTCTCATAGGATGGACGGAGGGAGGGAGCCATCCCTTCTGGTTGTTACACACATAAACCACATTTCCTCCCCAAGGTTCTTCCTGCAAGCCCCGGGCCCTAGCTGACCCAGGAAAGCAAAAGGCTCTTGGGCCAAGGGTGGACACACCTAGCTCCGGGATGCACGCCCTCTTCTCCTTGTAAATATTTTTCTGGTATGTCCAAAGGATCCAGTAGCTTCGGGAGTTGTCTTGTTCACAGGCAGCCCTCCAGGCGCTAATGCCTCCAGGACAGAACAGGCTCTCCTCAAGCTCTTCCAGGTAACAGCAGGTGCAAGGCTCCTTGAAGTTGCCAGGGTATCCCGGGGTCCTCAGAAGTTCCATCGTGCTTACGGTTCACTCTGATATGACGGACTCGGCACTAAATGGGGATATTAGGGGATTCGGGCTGCTGTGGCCCAGGCTTCTTTTCCGTCAGAACTTTACCCAGGAGGTCTAAGACTTTACCCACTTGTCCCTGGACAGGAGCTGCCTCGGCTCATAGGCTGGAGAAGGGAGCCAGTTCCAAGGACTGGCTTCTTCCCCCATGCCCAGGAGCCAGGTTAATATTTAAGTTTGGGTTTATGTCAGCTGGGTGGCACAGTGGATAGAGTGCTGGGCTGGAGGCCAGGAAATCCTGAGTTCAAATGTGGCCTCAGATCTTTACTAGCTGTATGACCCTGGACAAGTCACTTAACTGCCATTTGCCTCAAGTTCCTCCTCTATAAAATGGGGATAATAATAGCATCTCCTTCCCAGAGCTGTTGTAAGGATCAAATGAGTCATAAGGTTGAAGCACTTAGCACAGTGCCTGGCACATAGCAGACACTATATAAACGGTAGCTGTTTGCTTTTACACACTCAGCATGAAACCTGTCAGTTCCCATGCTCCTGAAATCAGGCCACAAAAATAGTGAGATGTGGGGAGGGAGCAGAACGAAGGGGAACATTTTTAGAACAACTTTGAACGACGAAGTCATTTTGAGTATTATAAATACTCCAATCAACTACCAGGGATCTATGAAGGAAGATGCTGTTGGCCTCCAGAGAAAGAACTGCTAAACAGAAGTGTGGATAATATAGTTTTACACACACACACACACACACACACACACACACGTCTAATGCGTGTAATTGGGGAGGGAGGGGAAGAAAAGTGCACAGCAGAGAACAAGAAAAGCAGGGAGCACAGAAAATGATGGGCAGGACTTATGTTCATAGTTGTTTTTTTAAATAAACTGAAATGAAATTCATAGATTTATATTGAATCCTTTCATGTACATGGAAATGTTCTTTTTTTGGTCTTTATATATTTAAGTTCAAAATGAATAAGGAATGAAAAGAAAAAAAGACGCCGTGAAGTGTCGTGCTAAAACGGAAAGCTAGATCTGGAGTTGGCTGCCCTGGCCGGTGCTTTACTCCCTATGTGATCACAGACAATTCACAACCTCTCTATTCCTTGCCCCTGTCTTTAGTGACCTGCCACCTCAAATCCACGCAGCCTCCACGGGACCAGGTCCCACTCCAGGCGGAGTGGAAAGGTCACTGGGGGACCGGGGATCAAGTGCTGGCTTTGCCACTTACTGCCCTAATGACCTTGGGTCGGTCACTTAATCTGTTTGGACGACCTGCCCTCTGAGGTCCCTTGCAGTTCTAACATTTTTATCACGTTGTAGACAGCCCTGGTATTCTACATAATGCTTCCTCAAGGAACAAGACCCTCCCTGTCACTCTCAGGATTTGAGAGGGAAGGGAATGAAGACAAGAAAGCAGGAATGACGACTTGGCTTTGGCCACCAGAGACAAGTTTTGTCACAGGCGATGTATTTATTTCTCAGTTCATTACATGAAAGACCTCGGACCTCAGTGGGCTTGGCACCGGTGGTCCCACTGCTCTGTAAGAATGCCAAGTACAAGATGTCCCCTACAACCCAACGACACCAAAGCAAAGAGAGAGAAATCAGTAACATGAATCATAACACCATAGGGAAACCGAGAGTCGCCATCCACTGGTGGCCTGGCCACACTGCCACTCTTAACCAAGCTAAAGTGAGTTAATAAAACAAAAAGCAGAAGCCAGCTAGTGTTTTCCTTTGAGAGCCTACACAGAATTGCAATGTGTAGATAAAAGGGTTAGAGCATATAGTAAAATTCAGAAAGCAGGGACACTTAATGCATACAGAACACACCAACATAAATAAGAAAAAGTCTAAAAATTAGCACTGAACCTAATACCAGCATTTTCTTCAATGCTTAGAAATGTGCTCCATGGACTTGTATAGAACTTGTGATTAATTTACTTCGCCATAATCATAGAAACCAGGAGGTGGCTCTTCTAGGCTATAAAATCAACAGCATGGAATGCTGTTGGAACAAGAAGAATCATTCTGGACTGGAATTTCCATCCAGTAAAGCCGGCCGTCTTTCCTGATCTGTTGGGAAATGCATCCAAGATGGAATTGGCTTTTTTTCTCTGAAGACTCCATTGTGATAACTTTTTCCTAAGTGTTCCACACTTAATTTCAGTCTCACCGGGATTTGAGAATTCCATTACTGGAGCCTAGGAAGCCCAGCATGGAACCAGCTCAGTTCTAAGCTTGATGCAAAGAAAAGAGTTTTTTCTTTTTTTCCATTTTTCCCTCAGTGAGATAAACCAAACTGAAAAGTCATTTAAAAGGAAGGCAGAGGGGAGGCTGGTGATCTTGGAAAATCCAAAAAGCTGCAGAAGGGCACTGGCATGGTGATGTGACATTGGAGAGATGGAAACAGACCCTTAAATGAACCCCCGTGGAAATGCAGTGAACCCCAATTAAAGGTCCAGCCAATAGGGATCTCATTTAGCTGCCTAAAGCAGAGGCAGATTTGGAGTACCTGCTGTTAGCCTCTGTCCATGGGACTCTGTAAGATGAGACACAATACAAGGCTCTGGAAAGTTCTGTTTGAACTAGGAAAGTGACTTTGGGGGGACAGATTATTATCCTAAGGCTGGTGATTGGGTAGGTCCAGAGAAAGCCTACCAACATTTGGTTTCTAACAGCACCAAAATTAAAGATACAGGACCACACAATGAGGAAACTGTTGGAGTCGGAAATGCTGTGTTTGGGATGAAGCAAACTTCACAGCTTGGCAAGATGGAGTTAGTGGAGATGGGGACGACGCACTTCAGGCTGGGAGGGCCGGCTCTGGAGATGGTGCTTTGTCCTCTTTCTGCCCACCCCAGCCACCCTCATGAACTCGAATTTGGGGCTTTGGGGCATGGGACTTTGCTCACTCACAGAACGTGACCACTTTAACTATCTTAGTAGGCTGAACTGAATTAAGCATGGTATTCCGGGAGTAAGTAATCTGGTTCAAATTTCTGTCCTCCACTCACCTTTCATCCTGTCTCAGGACTCCCAGCTTCCAGGGACTTGAAGTCACATGGGTGGTAACATCTTTCTGATTAGAAAGGGGTCCAATGAGTGACTTCAGCTGGGAGGCAATGTTTCAGGCCCAGCTGTTAGATCAGTTAGATTCAACGAGCTGGGCTTTTCCCCCCTGGAGGCCTTAGGGAAGAACCCAACCATCAAACCTCACAAACAAGTGGTCATCCGAGTCTGGGAGTGGAGAAGGAGTCCTTAGAAGGGAACTGGTCGAGGTAAAGGGGCGCCATGTGGGCGCTGCTCATGGGCTGGTTACTTCCCTTCGGCTGCTGCTGCCCTTCCCCCAGACTTCCGGCCAGCCATCACATGGGAACAAGAACTCTGTTTTGGAAGCTTGCTCCTCCAAGGTGTTGATCTCCTGCAAGATGGGCTTCTGGACAGGCTTTGTTGGGCACAGAGACGAACCAAGGTGATTCCTGTTTATTCTTTGAGATGTCGCATTGGAAGAGAAGAAATCGGATTAATGGGAAAACACCAAGAGCGCCTGCCCCGCCCAGCTCAGCGCCTCCATCTTCACCATGTCCTGACTTCTGGCCTTGCTGCGGTTAGTGTGACTTTTAGCCAGGGTGGGAGAGCTAATGAAGGAGGCAGAGGCCCGGGGCCTGGCACCCTCTCGGTGCTTAACAAATGCGTGCTTGCGTGATGGATCACACGAGCATCTGCATCCCTCTCACTGTTCACACAACATGGGCACTTAATGTTTTATTCTGTTTTCCTCTTTCACTTGGGGTGACGAGGGAGCATGGCATTGAGGACGAAAGGGGCAGCAGAGCTTATAGGAATGGACTTTTCTTCTGGGGATGGGTCTAGGGTTGGTCCCGGGTGTGCTGAGGGGCAGATGAAGCCTTATGCCTGGGGGCACTGGAGGCAGGTCAGGCCTTTCCAGAAAGGGCTCTGGGCTCCTATCTCCAAGCCACTGTGAACAAGATTCTACTTTTGCCTGCTTGGTTTGCTCAAAAGGTGCTGAGGGAAAGCCGGACCACCGGGGAAACCTCATTTTAGTGGGGCTCTGGGGAAGCCGCTGTCCCACAGGGCCCCCCGGCTGGGAGTGCCCAGTGACGAGGCTCTCAACACACCCTTATGGAATCCCCCAGGAGGAAGGAGAGGGGGAGAAGATGACCGCTGTTGGGGGGGGGCAGTCTCCTGCCTGCTGCCGTGAGCAGAGCCTCCTGCGCGGCCACAGCCCTGCTCCCCAACCCCCAGTGAGCATTTTTGTCCACAGAGAGATACTGTATCTTTAATCGGGGCCCAGGTTTGCCCAGGGGGAAGACAGGCTGCTATTTCAGGCTGCTGCTCTCATTACTGTCCCTTCTGGGTCCCAGGCTGTCCAGCAAGGAAGATACGGTGTCGTTGGGCTGGGGGGGTGCCAGGGGGTCCCCTCCCTTCATCTTGTTGCTTCGTGAGGCAGGGCCTGGGGCTCCGTCTTGTCCAGAGCCTGGTTCAGCGGAAGATAGCGGGTCTGAAAGGAAAGACACGGTCTCTGTCTGACGAGGAGGGCACTGAGAGCAGTCTGGGGCGGCAAGGCCTTCCGGGTGGCCAGGGATGCCCTCTGTCTCTGAGGAGGGAGGCGGCCTGGGGGAGGCTCTAAGGCAGCAGCCCCAAGGGAAGGGGGGCGCCTCAGAAGGCCATCGGGAGCAGGAGATAGATGGGACTGGGGATCTCAGGTCCTCCAGGCCTTTCCCCTTGGGTCCCCAAGCAGCTTCTAATAGAGGAGCTCATGTCAAGGTTGGGCAGCTTAGGAAACCCCCTGTTGTTTCTCTAGGAGAGAGGTAGGTGGGCAGGTGGATGGGCAGGGGTTCTTTGAGGGATTCCACAAGAGAAGGAAGCAGCGGCTGCCAAGTCCACAGGGCCCATCCCTCAAGGCAGGAATGGGGCCAGTAAACTTGGCCTCTGGGCAGCTGGGCTCCCGCTCCCCTCCCACCCCCACCCCCATTCTAGGGGCTGTCCTTCCAGACTCCGCCTAGCACAGTCCTCTGGACACTCACCGTGAATTCCAATCATGTGCTCCAGGATCAGCACCCTCTCAGCTAAGATCTTCAGGGCTTCTCGAAGCTGTTGTACCCCCTCACTCTGTGGGAACAAGTAAGCACCCACCTCAGGAGGTTTGTTTGATACGTATGAGGAGCAGAGGCAAAAAGCTGGGCCGCCGAAGCTGTGACTGGCCTTGGAGAGGTCTGGGGGCGGCGGGGACAGGCCAGGTGTTGATCAGGAAAGAGCCAGATGCTGGCAGAGTTCTTGCGTGCACCGCGGTTTGGGCCCATAGGGCCATCTAGTCATTTTACACACGAGGAAACTGAGGACCAGAACAGCTAAGTGACTTGCAGGCTGTGAGTGGCAGAGCTGGGACTCGAATTCTTGTCCTTGGACTCCCAACCCAGCCCCCTGCCCCTGCTCCAAACTGTGCCAGGCCACTTCTCTGAACCTTGATCTTCTCATCCATAACGTGAGGGGGTGTCACCCAATGGCTGCAATCCTCTGACTAGGTGTGGGGTGTGCGTGTGTGTTTACATGACAGTCGGTGCCCAGGTCCTGCCAATTTTTCTTCCAAAATGTCTCTCCTATGCTGCTTCCTTTCCATGATCTCTACCTCAATCCGCCCTGCACACCTCTGCCTCAGTAACCTTCCTCGGCGGTCTGTGGGATAAAGTTCCCTCTCCTCATACCGGCAGCCTTCAGTGACTTCCTGAGCTGCCGCCTCCCCCCTCCTCCCCATGCCTTTCCTCCTGTTGGTGGTCTACATGTCATGACTCTGGCCAGCCCTGCTCATGCACTGTTCCCTGTGGGTTCCATGCCTGTTCATGCCATTCCCCTGGCCTGGAATGTGCTGCCACTTGCCTTTCCTATAAACCAGCTCCTGCTTCTCCTTGGAGCCCAGGCCCATGAGCTGCAGGCCAGGGGCTGGCCTCCTCTCAGTTCCTGCAACCCTGTCTAGACCATGTACCTTAATGCTTATCCCAGTCTTACACTGTTGGGTAGCATGTGTGTGTGTGTGTGTGTGTGTGTATCTCTTGTCTCCTTAACAGGATTGGAAGCTCCCTGAGGACAGGGACCAGGCCTCCTGTTTCCTCTCCATCTGCCGCAGCTCTTCAGCATTCTGGATTTCCTAGGATCTTGGGATGTAGAGGTGAAAGGGACACGGGAGGTCATTGAGTGCAGTCCCCTCCGAGCGGGATAAGGCAGCGGGGGCTTAGCGCAGGAAGGTGCCCTGCCCGGTCAAACCATACCAAGTGTCCCAGCCATGACAGGAGGCAGGGGCTGGAGTGGCAAGGGGAGCCACAAGGCTGGTGTCTGTATACTGACTCTGTGTGGCCTTGGGCAAGTCACTTGACCTGGCACGGACTCAGTTTCCTCATCTATAAAATGGGGGTGGGTGGGCTAGATGGCCTCCGAGGTCTCTTTTAGTTCTAGATCTAGAACCCTATGGAACCAGATCCTCTGACCCCAAATTCAATGTTCTTTCAATGCTGCTTCATCAAGAAAGGACTGAAAGTCTCCTAATTTGAGCCAGCTCAGATAGACATGAGTCAATGAGAAATAAGGAGAGAGAATACACTTATCAAAACATTTAGGCAATTTTTACCTCTTTTCCCTTTTCTACTCCTTTTGAACCAGGTTCACCCTAAAATAAGACGAAAGAATTAAAAAAAGAGATTGTTATCAAGCAAAGGAAGGTCAGTAAATCCCAGCTTATCATGAAGATGATCATATTTGTGGTGGGGCAGCAGAAGCCTGTTGGTTACTCTGTGGACAGAGGAAGTGTGCCACGAATGTGGGGCTGGGATTGGGGGGAGGCTTCTAGAAGAGTCCTTAAAAACCCCAAGAATTAAGAGAATCACAAGTGAGGTACCATTCATAGGTATGGTTGGGGGAGAGTTCTCAACCCACCAAAGGACAGAGACCATCACAAGGTAAAACAGATGATTTTGATCACATGGAATAACAAAGCTATTACGTGAACAAGAGAAATATAATTAGATATAAATTAGGATATGATATATAACATAATTATTTCACATCATATATAATTGTATTAAGTAGTTGATTGAGGAAAATTCTGTTCATCAAATATCTTTGTTAAGGCTCTTATATCCAAAGTACAGAGGGAACTAACACAAATATACTGGACCAAAAGCCATTTCCCAATGGATAAGTAATCAAGATGTATGAATAAAAATATCGCCAACCATTAACTAGTATGTGAAAGAATGCTCCAATCACCACCAACAAAAGGAACGCATATCAGAGCCACCTTCAAGTTTCAGCTCACATCTGGCACATTGGTAGAGATGAGGAGAGATGAGAATAGTCAGGGTTGGGCTGTGCAAAGAGAAGCGCACTAATACAACACTGGTGAAACTGCTGGGTGTGAGAGGAACGATGTTTGTTTGAAATGGCATGATGAAGGCTTGATGCGGAGAACAAGTCCCTGATGGTGAGAGCTCTTCAGCAGTGGAATGGGCTGGCCTGGTTGTGTGTGAGCTCCTCCTCCTTGGCCATCTGGCTTCTACTTGGGCAGGGGTAGCTGGGACTCCATGGCCTCCGAGGTTCTTTGGAGGGGTTGCATCGTTTTCACAGGATCCCAGACTCTTCCCAGCATGACTCTGTTGATGATTACCGAGCCCAAACCTCTCACCCTACCTTCTGTTTTCTTTTACCAAATACTCCATTATCCACTCTGGTGGGAACATTTTTTTCATCCCCACTCCTCTTCCCCCTGAACATGACTTCTCTGCTGAATGCATGCCCTTGCCCTCTCTCTACACAGAGTTGCCAGGTCTCCATTTCCTGAATCACTTTAATGTCATGGGGTAGTCATCAGCTGTGATTTCTGTGTGTCCCTGGAATTGATGGATACTGTAATTCATGGAAATATGGAGCTCTGTAGAGAGAAACTGATCCTTTTCATAATGTGTAGTATAAAATCACAATGATCTCTTTCCAAAAGGAATTCTTCCCTTTGGTTCTGTAGATGCAGCTTCTGTTTCTTAGCTAAGCCCCCACTCACCTCCCAATTCCCTAGTGAAAGGTCATGGGGTCAAGTGGAGCAGATAACCCAGTGTATGGGAACCACAGCCATTTCCTTTAGTCGTGTGGGTCCTCTTCTCCCTCCGCTTGCCTGAACTCTGGGGGCCCTTTCTTGGTATGCAGACTCACCAGCTACCCCTCCTTAGCTGGTGAGTCTTTTTTTTTTTTTAAGAATTGCTGGCTTTAATTTCTTATTTAAATACAATGATTTTTTTAAAAGAGTAAATTATAAAACTTTACACTGCAGATATTTTACACAAATGCAAACATGCATATTTCTATCTTCCAAACTCTAGGCATAAGATTTTAAAAATTGTAATCACAAAGCAGACAGCTTTAAGTTAACTTGTTAAAATGAACTCGAGACAAAAGGGATGATGGGAAAATGGTGATGGCAAGTGATGATCATTATTCTACTGGTCTTTTACTTCAACCTGCATCTGAGTTCCCAAAATGCCACCTACCACACCACATTGGAATAATTCCATTTTTACTATAACCTAATATACATCTACATGAGAATATTTCTTTCAAAATAACACATAAATACATCACACACACAGCCTACTGAATCTGTCATCTCAATCAAGGAAATAGGAATTCTGAAGTCTAAAGTTTTCCCACCACCAAAGAAGCAAATATAAACACCACACACAGAAAAAAGACCCACAAGATTGTTACAGACAAAAGGTAAATAAAGAATAAGTAGTCTTGGTTTCAGCCAGGAAGCTTGAGTTTGCTAGTATCTAAACCCCACTGTGATTTTAGATGTAAAATTTAAGCGTCAGATAACAAGTATTTCCAAAAGATAGGGTTCTGAGATTTCTCACTATTTACTCTGACTACCAGTCTCTAAACAAACACAAAAGGATGGGAGACAAATAACAAATACAAGAAAATTTGAAAAATTCCATAAGATGCTTCAAAATGTTGAAAACACCCATGGCTCCTGTGTCCAAGTTGTCATCCAAAGCGTGTGTATTCTTGCACATATGCATACGTCCTCCATATTTCCCCTACTAGTCTGCTATATCTGAATAACTAATCATAGCACTGTGTGTAAATAATGCATTTACACAATCTTTTGTGACGATTACCAAATTAACATCTTGACTTGGAAATATTAGAACCAAGGTTCTGCCTGCTTCTTTCAGCATTTGTTTTTATTTAAAATTTAAAAGCTTACACAGGAAACCTTAGTTCAGATGACTGAAATCAGGCTCAAAGAATTGGGCAAGATAATTATAGCAGTGAAAAAATATTCCTTATTTCTAGCAACAATATAAACCGAGAATGGTATTGTCCATCTCTAATGTCAACACCACTAATGAATTATAAAAATTATCAATTCATTATAAATAAACTCTCATACTTCATTAAAGTCAAGCTAAAAGCCTGAAATTTGAGTAAGAACCAAAAAGTACGTACAAGTCACAAGGTAATGAGGCTTATTCCCCTTTACTTGAACTCTCAGCTTTCTTTGCACAATTTGTAAGGGGAAAGCAGAGTCCCCCCTGTGCCTTTGACTTCCCCCAGGTGTCTTGTGTCTTGTGTCTAGATTCAAATTCTCCTTCTACTTCAGAACTGGTGTTGAAGGGTTGACAGGCAGGGGAATGGTGGAAGTGAAAAGGAGGCATAAGTCAGAGGCAATAGGCCAGAAATTTGAAATATGTATTTCCCAGCAAACATAAACAAAAGGACGTTCTTGTGTTAAGAAACATGTATTATTTATAGGCAGTGGGATGTTCCTTTAGACCGTATGGAGACCTACTGCATGTACACTTAACAAGGTCCACACTTAATTGTAGTTTAGACTTGCTGTCCTAGAGCAACCTTTTCATTTTGTCAGTATCATTTTAAGCATTTTACAGATGACCTGCACAAAATGGCATATTTTGTCTTGCTTCCAGCAATGAAAAAATACAACCTGCAATTTCCACATAGTTGTACAAAAGCATGGGGAGAAATCCCCAGATCCAGGAGAGTTATGGGCCTCTCATTTGATACTTTCAGACTCCTCCTGGGATAGTTTTTAAAACTCCCGCCTAGTTCATACAGTCAGTAGGTTTCTCCTCTAACCCCTACTACTCAGTCATTGCCATTCTTTCTTTTTAAAAAACCCATTCCTTTTGAAATGCACTGAACCAGTTATGTCCAATGGAAGCTTAACGTGGGCTCATGGTTTTGCCTTATCAATTTCATCCAGTCACTGCACCTGCACGTGGGATTCTTCTGTCCTGGGCAGGGCCAATTTGTACCGGCTCAAATTCAAATTAGAACTAAAATGGTAGCCGTGACTTTCACAGTCTAGATACAAAGCTCCAAAATGAAGCCAAGTGCTCTATGTATGTTGTTCACTGGTCTTGCTACATATCTCAGCTCTGCACACAGTAGGTATTCAACAAATATTTGGTTAATTAAATATCATGTCTCTTTGTTGTTAATGTACATGTAGCTTGTTCACGCATAAGGACTCTGAGGAAGGGTTTAGCCCTATTAGCTTGAGAGTGATGTAGGAATGAGCCTGGTGCACTGGCTGGAAGACTCCAGGCCATGATAAAATGATCCCTCCCAACCCACAGTCTTGGCTGCTTTTCTTTGTTTATAGATGAATGGTGGTGTTGGAGACAAAAGACAAGAATGAAATAATCCTTGTCCTCAAGGCACTTATGTTCTACTGGGGGAGGCAGACCTTGGCCACCATACACTTCATTTATTTAAAAAATTTTTTTTTTAGACAATTGGGGTTAAGTGACTTGCTCAGGGTCACACAGCTAGTAAGTGTCAAGTGTTTGGTCTGAGGCTGGATTTGAACTCAGGTCCTCCTGATTTCAGGGCCGGTGCTCTATCCACTGTGCCACCTCACTGGCCCTCACCATACATTTCAGTGGGTTGCAGGGATGGTTACTGATTGCCAGAACATCAGAGAGCTCCCCATATTCTTCATATCTTTAAAAAACAAAGTGTGGCTTGAACTACAACAAGGAGAGGTAAATACAAGAATATTCAGGAAGTCCATGGATTCAGGGCTGTATAAATGGGACTCAATGGCCTGGTAAAGATTCACCTGAAGGTTTAAGGTACTTACTCGATCTCCTCTGTCTCCCTTGGAATCTTTAAAGCCTGGGTCCCCTGGAGGGCCTGGATCACCCAAGAAACAGACCAAATGGTGGAATGACATGACACCCTTGCGTTGGTCAGGTCGGTATGTCTCCCAGAGGCCAGGAATACATCACCACATCTACTACTCCCTGATTAACATGGGCTATTTGTTGGGCAAAGGATACATGCAGGGCCATGGGCTATCTGACTATATATGTAATTATCCTAGGACCCCTGCAACTCTGGGAAATGGCCATTTTTGGGGTCTGGAATTTTCCCCAAGTGGGAAATGACCAGCTGGTATTTGAGAGGACAGCTCTTTGCCAAGGTGACCCTGGAAATGATTACAGGTGGACCTTAAGTCAACACAAGCATGAACACAGGGAACAAACCACACACCTGGCGATAACTCCTGAGTTGTGTGAGCCCCAGGAGGAGCCACCCAGGGATTCAAAGCTGTTTGTGGGCAAGGAATGCTTTTGGTTCCTGTCT